AGTTCCAAAGGTTAGTGGGAAAGCTGATTTATTTGTCCATGACCCGTCCAGACATTGCCTATTCAGTTGGGGTTCTAAGCCAATTCATGCACTCTCCTAAGAAACCACACATGGAGGCAGCAGAGAGAGTTCTTAGATACTTGAAAAAATATCCTATAACAGGTCTACTATAGTAAACATAATCATCTAAAGGTGGAAGTCTTTACAGATGCTGATTGGGCAGGTGCTGTAGATGACAGAAAGTTCACGAGTGGGTATTGCACATTTGTGGGAGGAAACCTAGTGACATGGAAAAGCAAGAAACAAAGTGTGGTAGTAAGGTCAAGTGCCGAAGCTGAATATAGAGCTATAGCACATGGGGTGGCTGAAGTCCTTTGGCTAAAGAATCTTCTAGGGGAGCTTGGAGTTGTTGTTCATAATCCTATGTCTCTTTACTGTGACAACAAGGCAGCAATAAACATCACCATCAACCCTGTCCTACATGAGAGGACCAAGCACATTGAGGTGGACAAACACTTCATAAGGGAAAAATTGGAAAAAAGAGAAATTTGCATCCCTTATATCAACTCCAAGGAACAACTTGCTGATGTCCTCACAAAAGGGCTTCCATACTCGCGGCACAATGAGTTATGCGACAAGCTGGGCATGATAAACATATTCAGCCCAACTTGAGGGGGAGTGTTGTAAGGCTTATTTAATTGTTACTTTATAGTTTCTGTTAGTAGGTTGTCCTCTTAAGATACCGTCAGTTAGTTATTTTTCCTTTTTTCCTTATTAGTTTGTTTCTAGGGTGTGCCGCCAGGGGCATACTTGTAATTTCTATTATTTTTTATTAAGTTAATATAAATAGTGAACTGGCGGCAGCCAGAGATGGTTTTTCTTTTTCTCTCAATCGTATCTCCCTTTCCTTCTCTTTCTCTCGTCTCCCACTCTCCATGAATGATTACAGGTTGCTTGCACAAGGTATGTGCTAACAATAGCTTAGATAACTTCTTTTTTATCAATAACAGAAACTTTTATTAAGACTTCATTGAACTTGGGCTCAGCCAATACAAAAGTCTAGAAACTTCACTTGATATGAAGTACGTTTTTGAGTTGCAAGAATGTTTACATACTCAGATATTGTGGTTATTAGGCTTCTATGACCTTTAATGTTGCCTTCCATACAGAGGGAGAATCAAGATTTCCTTCTGTCTCAATGGGTGCCAGAAGCACATTTCCTACATTGAAATCACTCCATATATTTTCCTTTTCATAACTACTCAGAATTATCGTTATTATACATGTGATACTGATGGAAAAAGTCAGTGCTCTTTCTATGCATGCCTATTGTCATCTATTGGAACAAGCATCGATAGAAAAAAAAAGAAAATCTAAAACTGATGTGTTGTATATGTGAATACATTATAGTTGTGGTATTTTATCCCTACCGATAAGTGCATCAAATTATGCATATATAGTCAAACAGAATATCTTGATTTGATATATGTACTCTTTTTCATGAGAGCATGAATAAGCACAGTTAACTATATCCAAGTGTAGAGAGGGAACAACTCAAGAAGCATTCTTAAAATCTTTGTATGTCAAAAAGTATATATCCACATTCTGAATCTAAAGATATTGCATTATTTTCTCTTTAATTTTTATTATCTCATTTAGTTTTTTAAGATGATTTCATGCATAGATAGGCTTTTATGATTTCTGACTGTAGTCTGGTTTATTTATTCTCTGATAGGCTAAATTGTGGTGTGACTGCCCTTTCTGGCCTGATGATGGCATGTGCCGTTTGCGGGATTGCAGTGTCTGTGAATGCCCAGAAAATGAGTTTCCTGAACCATTTAAAAAGCCCTCTCATCATGTGCTTTCATCTGATGATTTAATGTGTCAAGAGGGAAAACCACAGGCTATTGTTGATCGTACCCTAGATACCAAAGCTTTCAGAGGTTGGATAGATATAGACAATCCATGGACAAATGATGATGAGACTGATAATGGTAATCCTTATGGCTTCTTATAGAATCTTGTGTGTCATTGTTGTTATAACCATCATAATAATCATCAAGGAAACCTGAATGTCAGTGACTGTAACTAGGACTGATGCATGGACCTCTTTCTTGCGTAAGTCTTAAGTAAGATATGATTTTAATTATGTTTGTAGATTTCAATGTTTTTGACTGCCCTTATTATTGATCGAAACTTTGGCATTGATCAACTCAATATTCAAAAATTCTACCTTGGTGTCATAATCAACAATAGGACTGTCTTCAATCTTTTGTTATCTTAGTAGAAGAATGGTGTAAATTTTGTAGTTCTGCATGGTGGATAAAACTGAAGACTAACTGATTTCTTCTTTTATTTGAAGCTGAGCTGACATATGTAAATCTCCAGCTGAATCCTGAACGCTACACCGGTTATAGTGGACCATCAGCTAGGAGGATATGGGATGCTGTCTACACAGAGAATTGCCCAAAATGTGAGTATTTTCTTTGTATTCAGCTTTAAAGGAATTGGGAGTATTCAATTTTACTTTGAGAACCATATAAAATTCTATTTTCTGTCATTCATTTGATAGGCAATATTTTTGCATTCTCACATAAATGTCTTGGTTTGTAACATTGTTCACAACAAGTCTAATATCCAATAAATTCTGCTACGCTATTTATCAAAAAAACAAAAAGAGTACTGTTATGCTGGTGAAGTAGTTTATCTTTCTTTCTTTCTTTCCTTTTTTTTAGTAGTATGCTTTTTCTTATTCATTCCTTATTATATAGAATGAAAAGTCTATGCAGTAGACATACAGCTAGGGGGATAAGTTGGATTGCCTGATTGAAGAATTTCAACTACATTGTGCTCAGGTTCAATCTTGGGCCCACACTACCCATGTTGCACCCCTGAATATGACACACTGCACAAACAAGGGATTATTCTGCTGACAAGGTTATCAACAATAATTGCCCTCAATTACTGGCAGCTTGATGCTGTCAGATCTGATGGTCCTCATAACTGTATCCAAACTCAAGTAGATGATCCACTACTATTTCCCCTCTTGAAAGAATATGTGAAACCTTAATCATATCAAAATGGCACTAAAGTAGGCATTAGATGTTAGTGATGATATGTCGGACCAAACAAAGGGAAACTCCCTTGGAGCAGCCTACGTTTCTGCTACTGTGGTAGAAGAGTAAATTGCCTCGTGTTCTGGAGAAACAATCCCGTTAGCTAAACTTTATCATTTTCATCCGTTCACCAAATCTTTCTACTTGGACCAAGACAGGTAGGAGATTCTTGCTGGTAGAAGAGTAAATTGCCTCGTGTTCTGGAGAACATTCCCATTAGCTAAACTTTATCATTTTCATCCGTTCACCAAATCTTTCTACTTGGACCGAGACATAGATAGGAGATTCTTGCTGCATAAATTGATTTCACCATGGTTTTTAAAAACGAACCAGTGACCGAACCGGTCAGGGGTCCGGTTATTGGTTCGAACGGTCCAACCGTTCGACATGAACGGCCGACCCGTTTTGACAAAAAAAATTGGAAAACGGTCAAAACCGTTCGAACGGTTAACCGGCCGGTTCAGCGGTTTGCTGATGAAAATCAACGGTTTTGGGGGAAAATGGAACCGGTCAGGTGACCGGTTCCCGGTTTTTCCGGTCCGGTTTTGAAAACCATGGATTCCACTTATGTAAGAGCCTTCTTCTGAGCCGCCTCTAATTGGCAATGTGAAATAAGCACCTCATGAGATATTTTTTGATGATGCTTTGGAGTTTTTTCTTCTTCTGCTGCATCCTTATGTTGAACCTGGCCTCTTCATCATGGACTTCCCATTTGGTGAACTTTAATTCCTTTTTAATGAGATTTTCTATTTATTGCAAAAGGAATACTTAGGGCCCGTTTGGTCCACGGGAATAGGGATCTGGAATTGGAATTGTAATGAGCCATTCCGGTTCCAACTGTTTGGTTGGGCAGAATCTGAATTCCATTCCCATTCTTGGTGGAATGGTATTCCCCCATTTGAGTGAATGGCCATTCCCTCCCCCTCTCTTTGGAATGAATTCTCGTTCCAGATGATTCCAATTCCTAATCTGATTCCTGTCTGAAACAAACAGACTATGGGAATAGATCATTCTGATTACAATTCCAGCTGCAAACCGACCTGACCCTTAAATAACTCTCAGGGTCCATTTGGTTCGCAGCCAGAATCGGAATCAAAATCCTTTGGAATCGGAATCAGAATGGTCTATTCCCATAGTCTTTTTGGTTCAGACAGGAATGTGAATGGGAATTGAAATCAGCAGAAATGGGATTTCATTCCCAACAGGGGGGCAGGGAATGGCCATTCCCTCAAATGGGGGAATGCCATTCCAGCAGGAATGGGATTCCGATTCCAGACCCCTATTCCCACGAACCAAACAGGACCTCAGAGGTTTCACATTAGGACCCCCTTTATGGTCCTGAGAATTTATTCAGCCTGTCCAGGTTAATATGACAAGTGACCAGAAAAATCTCTACGATCTTGTCCAAAATTATAGAGCTAGTGCTTGGCAAGCTGTAGCTCACCATGATATACTGTAGTATTGCTGATGAAACGGACTTCATAAGAAAAACTATTCCTGGTGAGATTAACAGCTTCTCCCTGCTGTTCTTGTTTCCTTTTATGTACTTATTCCAAAATTGGCTAAAAAGTGTCTTTTCTAAATCCTGCTTGTACCAGTAATACTCAAAGATATTTCCTAGTTTATTGGTCTTGTTTAACTTCCAACCATTGACTGTGGACTCAATTGTGCAGTAGTGCCCATTGTTGGGAACAATGTTGTCAGACTTGGATCAGACCATACAGTTCAACTGTATGGACTGTGACCCGGTAATATTTCTGAGTTTTAGAAAGATCAATTTTCAAATTTCTGAAAAACCATTTAAACATCTATTGACATGGGCAGTTCCCTGAACATTAAATGATTATTACTGACATGTCCAATTTTTGAAGAACTGCTGGGGTCAAAATTTGAGAATTATGTATAAAAATGGCATTGTAATGTTTTGAACCCAAAATGTTCTATTTGTAAGTTAAAGCTCAATCTACTAGGCCATAATCCTATTTGTTTATAAAACCATCTATATATCTTACATGTTAAATATATATAATTCTTTTTGTTGTTAAAACACAATTTGGGTGATTTGAACAGAGTCCACATACATGAAAATATGGACCCTGACCATTCAGCTACGATTATGATTAATTATTTACATATTTTAGTGTGATACAATGAACCATTGGGTTGATCCAGTGGCAAGGCTGTTCAATCCATGACCCAGTCGCATTTCTAGGTTTGCAAACAATCCTAACCAGACTATTGCTTCAGAATTAGTTCCTTTACATTGCTGATTTCCCCCTATAAACCTCGGTTCTTTATAAAGCACAAGGGATTTTTTTAGCCCTTTATTGATAAGAAAAATAGCCCTTGAGTGGTAACTGGTTAGTTGACTTTATAAACTCTTTTATTGTCAAGTGTTAATTTTTCTGGCATTTTTCCTTCTATTGTTCTCACAAATAGTAGTTTCTATTTCACTATACTTGGATTTAAGCCCCTTGACAAGTTTGGCTCAGCCATCTTTCTCTTAATATCATGCAGACCCGTCTGGAGAGTTTTGTCCAGAAAAGAGAGTGTTATACAAGTTGATTTCTGGACTTCACTCCTCCATTTCAATTCACATAGCTGCTGAATATCTCCTTGATGAAGCTACCAATCAGGTTTTCATTTCCTCTCTTATCCTGCAGTATTTTACCTCTTTTAAGGAGTGAATGTTTCCATAATGGTTACAAAATTTGTTTCTTTTACATACACTTGTATCACCAATCACTTGTTTCAGGCTGTTCAGTTGCTTCAACACTTCTCAGATTTGTTGTTACTTGGAAAATCATATTTGTCTGTGTATTATCAAAATTTTCACATTATTTCTATTTTCTTCCAAACATAAAGCTCACAGTTATCCATAAAAAATTCACAGTATATAACCCATTTTATTTTAACAATCCATTTCTTTAGATAGTCCAGTCATTATTATTTGCTTGATGTGATCTTTAGGTAATCCTCTGATGAATAATCTGAATTACTGAATTATCAATTATGCATGTAGTATGGCCACATATTTTGTACTGAGCATGGATTCCACAGTATATCCTTCCAAAATATTGCAGTTTAAGTTATAACTAAATTTGGCATTTTGTATTCTGTTTTTGTGCTTCAACTTCAGTGGGGTCAAAATCTTGAGATGATGTATGACCGGGTGTTAAGATATCCAGAGCGTGTCAGAAACCTGTACTTCACTTTTCTCTTTGTTCTCCGTGCTGTAACAAAAGTGAGTTTCAACACTTCTTCCATGTTTTGAGAGATATAGAGAAATATTACGGAATGTCATAGATTCTATCTATAAATTGAGATTTATCCTGACATCACCCTATAATCTTCTGTCTTTTAGGCAGCAGATTACTTGGAACAAGCTGAATATGACACTGGCAACCCTGAAGAGGACCTGAAAACACGGTCTTTACTAAAGCAGCTGCTTTATAATCCAAAATTACAAGCTGCATGCCCTTTACCATTTGATGAAGCCAAGTTATGGCAAGACCAAAGTGGATCGGAGCTGAAGCAGCAGATTCAGAAGCAATTCAGAAACATTAGGTTTACATCTGAACTTTGTTTCATACTCAATTACTGGGCACTCCTTAATAAAAGTAAAGGCAATTGCACTATTGTTCGTGCTCTTTAAGGCCAAATTCTGTTATGTCACTGCAGCTTTGAATCCTGCAGTGACAAAGGTTCGCTTCCATGTTGAGAGCTGAGGTGGAAGATCTAGACCTTCTATCTGATTGCATAACATCCTTGTCAAAAATAGCTCTATACATCACCTGTTTTGTCTGTGTAAACACGCAAGGACAGTGGGGTTGGGGAGGGAGAAATGCTTCGTCCATTGGTCATCAAGTTAGGTGAAAATTTAGGAGAGAAAAAGATACGGAATCATTGTTTTAATGTATTTATTAGATAAAACTATTATTCTCAATGCCAATGTGAAAATTGTCTTTTTTTTCTATTATAGTTTGATATTGTTTTGCCCATCCACTCTTTTATCCATCTCATTTGCATTTAATTGGTCATGCTATTTCATTTAACAATATTTACCCTGTAGTTAATAACCAAATCTATATACTGCAGTGCATTGATGGATTGCATAGGGTGTGAAAAATGTCGACTTTGGGGAAAGCTTCAGGTTCTTGGTGTAGGAACTGCATTGAAGATTCTCTTCTCTGTTGATGACAAATTAAACCAGCCCGTAAGTTGTTGCCTAATCGTAACATTAGCTTCAAAACATAGTTCTTAATTATTTCTCCTAAAAGATGCTGCTTCTGTGTTGATGGAATTATGTCAAATTAGTTATAGCTAGGCTTCTTCTTGTATTGTTGACATGGAATATCTTGAACATGCACGCTGATAAAAAGGAGAATCTTGAACATACACCTGACATTTAACACAAATAGTGGATGAAGTACCTTCCTATTATTCTAACTTCTGTGTCTTCTATGTTGCCCGTTGGCCTTTCAGCTCCAGTTACAACGGAATGAAGTAATTGCTCTGGTAAACCTACTCAATCGACTCTCAGAATCTGTCAAATTTGCTCATGAAATGGGGCCTGCAGCAGAAAAGATAATGGAAGGACAGGTTTCTGCGCCATCTACCCCAAGCAGCACATGGCAAAGAATAGTGGCCTTTGTACACAAACAATAAATGTAGGAAGGGGATGTTTTAGCATTTGAAGAGTAGGTAGTCAGAAAAGTAATAACCTCTATTTTAGCATTTGAAGAGTAGGTTGTTGTCAATGGTATACAATGCTTGTGTAGAGCATTCAATGTAGGAAAAGGGATGTAAGAGGCCTTGTATGTGTTGGATGCTAAAACTTCCAAGACCATGTCATATGCGTGACATTTCATGCTTGTATCAATAAAGCCCATTACCCAATGTTAATGCCTTAATGGTATACAATGCTTTTACCAATAAAATGCTTGAATTTTAATGTTTCAGTTGCAGGTATTGTCGTTTGAAATGAATAACTGATTGGGTCACGATGAGAGACCTAGGGCATATCAGATCCGTTAAGAAAATTCGACCGATCCGATTCCGATAAGGACCCGTCGGATTTTTTAAAAGCATGATTAGAATCCGAATTCGAATGTATTATCGGATATCCGATTCAATTAGAATTATAGTTATATTATCTAATATAAATAATATATTATATTATTTACGTAACATAATAATATATAAATAATATAATATATAATATTTCATAATTAATTGATCGAATCGGGTCATAGTGGATCGGATCAGCCAATATCCGAATTCGATCTATTAAGTTAACAGATCGGTTTTTCCGATACAATTCGATTTGTTAGGATCAAGAGGGATATCTAAATCATAGTTTTCAAGGCGCCAAGGTGAGGTTGGGCGGCAGGGGGGCACCTTGTCACCTAGTCGCCTAGGTGACAGATTTTTTTATGTAGAAAACATACATCCTAGGGTAGTTCCCCAGGTACCATAACCATATTTCCTTAATAATTATTCATAATTTTCATAAGAAAAGTATAAAGTTTATGTTAAAGTATAGAAAGTCAACATATTGAGAAGAAAAAGAAGGAAAAGAAGAAAATAAAATGTGTTGATTAGAAAATGTGTACTTGTAGTAGTAGTAGAAAATGTGTTAATTAGACAAAATTTTAAGTTCTTCCTTATTAGTTCAGGTTTTAAAGTATTTGGGGGTTCAATACAACATTTAGCAATGTTTATATTGATTAAACCCTAACAAATAAGAAATTAGTATATAAACACACAAAATGAATATTTTAGTTTAATAGKKSCYWWTTTWWWAWTWWA